AAAAACATACAGGCAAAATTGCTGCTTTAAACCAAAAAAAAATAAAAAGTTAATGTTTAAGATATATAAAATTTTTGTATCTAAATAGAGTTTTATATTTCAATAATATTCTCTTATCTAATATAACTAGATAAAATTTTTAGTATAAAATAACTTTTTATATAAAAAAACAGTTGCAATTAATTTAAAACTTTTATATTCAAGAATATAAAAAAAAATATTAATTCTGCTATAAAAAAAATTGTGATAATTTTTACAATTAACAAAACTATAAATATGTATAAATAAATTAATATTTATTAAAAATTATAAACAATAATTTGTATATGATTTAAATTTTATTTAAACTAAAAAAGTTTTTTTGTATTTTATATATTAAAGATCAAATTAAATAATTATAAAGTGCAATTAATTTAGAAATATTATCAACAACTTTGATTAACTAGTTATTAAAATATTTACTAAACTTAATACAAATTCTTTTTTTTTTGCTTTTGCTAAGGCTGTTAGTTATTAGTGACTACTGCCTTTATTGTAATTTTAATTATGATTATATAACTTGTACAAAGTGACCTTTATACTATATCTGCAGATAGTGCATAAGTTTTCATATACTGAAGTGCTATCTAATCTAACTTTGACCTTTCTGTTTGTACATTTGTCAAGTTATTATATATTTCAAAATATATTATCTAACTGTAAAGTTTCAAAAAACTCTTTTGCTAACTAACTACTCATATTTAATTTTTTGTTAACAGAGCTTACTTTTGCAAAGTTTATACAAACTCTAGTAAAGGATGTGGTAATCTAGTGAAGTAGATAGGTTGTTAACTCTCAAGTGGCAAGTCTAAGGTTTAATTCCTATGAATAATAAATTTTAAAAATTATATCTGTATTATAGTAACTGTTTTTTGTCGATCAGTTAAATTTGAGTATCTGTAATTTTAAATATACCAAGTCAGGTCCTATCTGACATTGGGAGCTCAGGGCATTTATGTGAAGTATGATGTTACACATATATAAAGAAATGTAAAAAACCAATGTCATATAAGGCTTCAGTGCAAACCTGTAATAAGACCACTAGACATAAAAGGCTAAAGAACCAAGAAGACAAAAACCTACTTAAAATTCTCAAGTAAAGAGATAGTACAAACTTTTGATAGTACTATTGAACTAATAGAAGCCTATGAAACACTTTTATAAGAACTGTTAGATAAACTAGATGACAAAGATGTATAAAGAAGCATATAACCAACTAGGTTACTAGAATTGTCAGAGAAAAATAATATATAAGTATATTATACTAGGCTATTTAAATTGAAAGTCTAAGAAGTTAGTTGATTTCAAGTTGTGGCTAGTAAAAAATAATGAAGAAGAAGTCAGAAAGATGAGTACCAAAGTTTGGGTAAACTTTACAAGAGTAACAATAGTTTAATAAATAATTCTGATTGCAAATGTTGGTTTCAGCTATAGCATCAAACCAGATTAGTAGTAGAAGAAAATATAGCTTACTCTAATAAGTTTGCTTCAAGAATAAAAATAATCTAAAGATTATAGTCCTATAGTTAAAAGCAAATAGATCTGGGTCTGTGATCTAATAAAATTAATATTAGAATTAAATCAAAGAATTTAAATAAAACATCTAGACAGAGGTGTTAGATATAGCAACTGGTAAAGACTCTTAAGCAGACTCCTTAAATAGGTAATATAGAAAAGTTATATGTATAGCCAATTGTACACTTGTTTGATAGTTTAATATAAATATATTTGTATAAAACATATAATCAATATAAGTATTAATAAAAAGCTAAAACCAAAAAGATCATCTTAATATTAAAAAAATGTAATTTGTAAACTCTAAGTTGAATTTATATATAGTTTTGAGATTTAGATAGCAATATATAATTAGTTCATATATGTAAAAATATTAAATTAATAAAAAAAAAATATTATATTAGTTACTAGCTAAATTAATATATTTATATTATATTGTTATAATAGATCCAGAACATGTCTCTTTACAAAAGTTCAAAATGTTGTGTACTAATAAATCAACATGTCGATCATTTTAATTTTTATATAAAAAATCCATGTTTATAAAACATACCCTTATAGCAACACATAATTTGCACATTGTTTCACCAATGTTTTTTAGTTTAATTCTATACCTAAGAATCTTATTTATTAAGCCAAAAAAACTTTACTTTCTAATCTTTTGTAGTTTGAAGAAGATCTTCAATTAAAGTTAAAGTAGTTTAACCTCTGTAATATGATAACTTACAGTATGTAACATATTTAATGACTGTTATTTTTTTTAATAAAGTTGTTTACCAATGATTAACTAATAACAAGTCTTTTCAAACATGCTAATGTTCCATTTTGAGTGCCTTAACTGCTAAGTAGTTTAATAGTTATAATCAAGACTTTTACTTATTAAGCTAAATATGCTTTTTTATTCAATTTTTTGTAATTTGAAGATCTTTATCTGAAGTTAAAGCATCCTAGCTCTGCATATAATTTAACCAAATACAGGTAAGTTCCAATCATCAAAATTACTGCCAGCCTGCTGGTTTATTTATAAATATTTGCTAATAACTTACTTTCTGATATATGATGAGTATAAACTAGCATATAGGCTTCAAAGCCAAACTAACAAAAAAAAGTAGAACAAAAACATGAAAACATTGACAAATTAATAGCGAAAATAACATTAGTAAGGATAATAATGAAAGCAATAGCATTAGTGCTAGTGGTAAACATACTAACACCACATACTGACTTCAAATAGAATAACAAAAAAGTATAGTGAAATCTCTCTAAATGCATGTATTTGGGACCAAAACTTAATAACTTGCACTTAGAGAACAATAAGAAAAAGTGCATTTATGAAGGTCATGCATATATTTGAGCCAGAATCTGTATGCATAGAAAGTGCATTTAAAGAGGTTTCACTATATATAAGCTAACTCAAACACAGCTGCTAATAGGCATGTTAGTATTTAAATTTTCATTCAAAAGAATTTATGAGATTGAAAAAGGTGCAATCAAGATAAACACCTAAAGCATAGTGCCAGACATGTGTTCCTTAGAGAACAACTCAAGAATGAATAAATGGAAATAAGACTACTGATGATTTCATTAAAGAATTTCAACCTACATTTATATAATATGAGAATGTGATTGAATAGATTCCTTTTATTAGATTAAATAATATTCAAAAAAATGATTAGTAACCTAGTTAGATAACATGAATAATTTCTGATAAATGCAAGAAATAAGTACTATTACATGCTTCTCAATATATAATTGACCTTTAAAACATAGATCTCAGAATTTTTATGGGTTTGTTAAAAGAAGTAAAATAAATTCTATATGGGGTCTTTGCCTTGAAAATGACCTTATGGTATATAATACCTTAAGGTCATTTTCAAGGCAAACACTCTATATTTATTTTGTTTTTATAAATTATTAGACATTTATTTATTTAACTAGGTTTAATTAAATAGAAGATAAATAATTTAAAATATATGGGCTAACACCTGATGCCAAGCATGTAATTCTCAAAAAACTCAACAATGTACAAGTAAAAATATTATTTATAGTTGTCTTAAAAAATTTCAACTTAAACCTACAAAATACTGAAATATAAGAGTATAATTAAGTGAATTCCTTTTAATAGATTAAATAATGTTCATCATACATTATTTAAAACTTAATTCGAATATTATTTTATTATCAACATTAATAAAAATCATTTTCATTATATAAACTATTCAACATTTAATAAAATTCTTTATTTATAATAAATAAATAATTATAAATACAGAAATGTATTATAATTTTGAAACATTTGACGTGTAGTAAGTCATCTGTCTGGTCTATATATATAGATATGAAAAACCTGATCCAATAAAGTTATCAATCTGAATGATCGAATTGTGAAAAGTGAAATTTAATAAACTTTTCATTCGAAATTACTATATTGTTGCTAGAATCGAAATTTTAATCTTCAGTCTAGATCTAAGATAGTGCACTGAAATTAAGTACTAATTTTGTCAAAAAATAAATAATAAATAAATATAATTGGCATACATGTATCAAAGATACCTAGAAGAAACTTACAATATGACAAACAAAAATAGAAAACAGCTTACAAATTTAAATAAATAATTAATATTAGTTAAAATTATCTAAAAAAAAATTGCCTAGCAAACTTATTAAATGACAGACAAAATTGAATTACTTGTGAACTTGAGTAAATAATTAATTAAAAGTGAAGCATATAACAACAGTAATGCAAAGAACTAACTATTTTTGATAAAATACTCATTTTAATCATTAATACTACAGATACCTTTGTTTGATGCAGAATGTAAAGTATACTAAATAAGAGTTGAGAATCAGTATAGTCCATTTTAATAAATTTCAATATAAGAATAAAATTAAATTAAATATACAATATAGTCATCTTAGTAGACAAAATATTCATATAGATCTTTGCTGAATCAAACAGAAGAGTATATTGTATTACGTATAGATTTTAGTATCATTTTTGTTACTAATGCAACAAAAATTTAACTTCTCTATCATAATACCAAATTCCTAAGAGGGATGATGATGAATCAAATGTGATAGCAAAATTAAAAGCTGAAAACATACCTTATCATATGATGTATTTATTCATTGTCAAAAATTAACAATATTGAAATGCAAGAAGAACATATAATCTTAATTGTAGTTATCAAGAGAATAGTATCAAAAAGAATGAGTATAAGGTACTAATACAGATACAAGTTTAGCCAAGACAGGTAATCCTGATGAAAGTGCAAAGTTGAAAGATCAGGTGACTAATAAAAGATTTCAACATAGTTGTTGTAAGTGGATAGCCAGAATTATCAATTGTGCTTGAGAGTGTACAACCTAAGATCTTAAAAAAATGAAAAACTCAAAGTTGTTGCCACCAAGACTGCTGCAGATGGTAAAACAACATTAATCTTAGGATGCTTGATGAAGTTGAACAGTTGGATATATCAGAAATAACAAGAGTGATCTCTGCTGAAATTGGTAATTTAACATCTACATTTAAAATGCATATTTACTTAGTTCAGGTTTTTTAACAAAGTAAATTAGTATGATCTTTTAGATACAATAAAGCAAAAATAATGATTAAATAAATATGTCACTTGACCCTACATACAACAAACAAACATGACTGTGGAATATACAATATGGAATTCTGCCTTATTGTTCATACAGTTCACAGCCAGTTCCTAGTATTATGCCCTATTTACTACTTCTTTTTTGACATCTAAGCTGTTTGATCAGGCTATCAAAACATCATCCTCAATATTCAGGCTGTCCACTCAGGCTCTCAACTACACCTACAACTTACAGAAAACTCTTAACCAGTAATGAATAGGTGGAAACAAACAACAAAGATAGACCTAGCAATAAAGACAAAAGAGAAAAAACAATTTTTACTCTTTTTCTTTAAAATAGCTGTTTATTATGACCTTATACTTAATTAGTTAAATCAATACTTCTATCATTCTTACAAAACACTCATACTTACAAATCACTTAAACAATCAGATCAATACTATCAAAAATACATCATACTTACCCTCATAAGTCTGGGTCACAGTCTTATAACAAATGGAAATGTGATCTACTTGTTACATGTTAGTAGAACATTCTATATTAAAAACAAAATCCTAATATACAAAATCCTGATATTAAAATCTTGATACTACCAAAATTTTAACAGACTGTTACTGTTAGAATATTGGCAATATCAGGATTTTGATGTTAGGATTTTGATGTTGGGATTTTGATGTTGGGATTTTGATGTTAGGATTTTGATGTTGGAATTTTGTGTGTCAGGATTTTGATAAGATCTAGTGAAATCTCAAAAATACATCATATTGTTGCATGTTAGTAGAACATTTTACATCAAAAACAAAATCTCAACACACAAAGTTCTAATATCAAAATTCTGACACTACCAAAATCTTAACAGATTGTTATTGTTAGAATATTGGTAGTGTCAAAATTTTGATGTCGAGATTTTGTGTGTCAGGATTTTGATAAGACCTAGTGGAACCTCAAAAATATATCATATTGTTGCATGTTAGTAGAATGTTCTATATCAGAAACAAAATCCCAACATCAAAATTATGATATTACCAAAATCTTAACAGTATTACTGTTACTGTTAGGATATTGGCAGTGTTGGGATTTTTGATATTGGAATTTTGTGTATCAGGATTTTGATAAGACCTAGTGGAATCATAGAATCTTAGAGCAATTTTCAATAGGGTTTCATTGAAAGGCTATTTATCAGACAAAGAAAGCCTGCCTAAGGAAGGCATAAAAAAAATTCTGCAAATAAATTTATGAACCAAATTTAGTAATGATTTTTCTGGTTTTTTTTATTATAAATAGAAGCAAGAAATTCTTTTGTATCTTTAAATGAAAACAATCTTAGTAATAAAGTACTCAAGTGTTCTAATATATAAAATAATAAACATAATTAATAATAATAAAATCATTTATACCTTTTAGAACTGTCAGAGTCCATTATATTTAGTCTTTTATCCTCTAATTCTCAAAATAAATATTCTTTGTGATCTATAATAGTTATAATTGTCCAATTCTCATCTATTACCAAATAAATTCAATCTAACTAGTAGTGTTGTTCATAACAAAAATATGATAGGCAAAATGTGTGATTCTGAATCTATTTACAATGACTTTGAATGCAGTTCTTTTGGAGAAAGCAGCCAAGATAATTTTATTGCTGATGAAGTTAATGATGCTCTTAAAAATGCTTGGCTCCTACTTGATGATAATAAAAATAATTATGATAATTATAACTCTGAAGAAAATAATAATTAAGAAGATAGTAATAAAAATATTGGTGAAAATAATAAAAATATCGATGATAATGATAAAAGAATCAATAACAATAGTAATAATAATGATATAAATGTTAAACCTGAACATGCCTTCATTCAAGATTCTAGTTTAACACTATGCATTGTCATCAGTATTATCAACAGTGAGGTAAAATGCTTAATAGCAAAATAAAATTATGACAATTACAGAAATTAACAGAAATCTGAAAAATAGATGCTAATACAGCCAATAGTAATAGCTTTTACCAACTTGGAGTATGCTTTTTACATATGATCTTAGATCAGAATAAACTACATAGTAGTGGTATAAAACAACAAAATCTGATTAAAAAAAGCAATTCTCATTTTTATTTTTGTATTTTTTGCTGAAAAAAAATGTTTTTTTAGTTGTAAAGATTGCTATAAAGAGCATTCATTTAAAATTAATAAAAGCAATGTTCAAATACCCTGCATTGGCATTTTTAAATATCTAGCATTTACTAAGAGATTTGTTGCATATAAATTGTCATTAGAATATCATGCATGTTATATATGCACAGAATGTTTTCAAAAGCAGAACAGACATTTGTATGAACAACTGGGAAAAGGTAACAACCTATTCAACAATTAAGCTCCTCCTTTATATTTATTTAAAAACTTCAACAAACAATCAATTTCTACAAGTTTTTATACTGTGTACTGAACTTGGAAAACATCAAGATGACACAAGCAATGCTTTGACTGATATTGGAAGATAGATAATATCAGTAGGAGAATTCTATGATCAAAAATTTAAAGAAAAACTTCTATTACTATTGATGCCAACTCTTCAATCTTTGAATGTCAATAAAAAAAATAGTAAAGAAGTTGAAGAAGAACTTTCTAGTAGCCTTCTTGTTAAAACTAGTCTGAAAATAGTAGAAATTGATTTTAGTAAATTACCAGAAAAATTATTAAAAGAACAAATTTTGTTACTGTTGAAACCCACTTAATCTGCAAATAACAAAAAAAATAAAAAAATAGAAGTAGATCCTTCTAGTAGTCTTCTCGTTAGAATGACATTGAAAATAATGAAGATTAATCCTAGTAAATTGAATGAAAAATTATATAATATCACATCAGAAAAAGTAACAGATATAGGTGAAAAAATGTGAAAAAAGGTTTTATTTTTATGTCTTGAAATTCAACAAAAAAGGAATCAGTTAGAAAATTCAGAATCATATGAAGAGTATTTTAATGCAGTACTAAATATCATCTATAACTTCTTTCAATCTCTAATATTAACAATTTATCAAAAAAAGCAATTAGTTGTTAACAAAAAAAGAAATCAATGTGGGCTTCTCTTAAAATTGCTTGATACAAATCATATAACAAAAGTCTCTACCTTATTTACTTCTATGTTGTTAACAATGGCATTTCCTAGAATGAAAATCTGGCTTACATATGTTATATTATCATTATGTCAGAACCCAAAATTATTACTAATACTATATGAAATTCTTTATTCAGCAAACATTGTATCTTACACAAAGTGATATAAAAATCAGCTTACAAAATTAAGAATGTTTGAAGCAAACCCTGTAGAAAGACTAATTAAAAGGCAAAACATTTGGAATTTGGTGGTCATTGATAACATCAATTTTAAAGCATCCACCTTTGCAACAGATAATATTTTTGATATAGGATATAAAACCTCTCATATAATGTTGTGAATGGTTTTTTAATTTACCCTTTCTACAACACTTGATAATTTAACTGATATTACTGATGATGAACTTACTGATCAATTAATGTTTGAAGAATCAACAACTACTGATGACCTTCTAACGCAATACAAAACTGTCTTTAATACAATAATAGAAAAAAACAAAAATAAGTTTAAAATAGAAGATGTACATTTAAAAATTACAAAAAAAATACCTTTAGGTTCCAATATTCTAGTGAATATTGTAATATTAGAACCTAATAACCTATTGAATTCTGACATAATGTTCACGCTTCATGTGAAATGTACTGCAAAGATTTGTTTATTTGTAAAGATAATCGTCTTTATATTGTATGTGATCAAGTAATTTTTGAAAGACTGATTTCTTACAAGGAAAAATATTCAGATACTCACCTTATTTTGGAGCAATAACACATATTCAAGAATATGTATAGCATATTGATTATACTATTTTCCAAATGTGAGATATTTAATCTTACAGATACTCTTGGCATATAATACTTAGATAAATTTGAACATGTAATCGATTACTGAGCAACATGTCGAGTTTTGGAAATGATCTGAATTGCAGTAGGAATCACTTTAAGTCAGTATATCAAAAACCAAGGAAATTCGATATGTGATATCTTAAAAAAAAATAATAATTTAATGAAAATATAGTACCTCTTTTTTTGCTAGACTGGATATTTCATTGGACACAAAAACAGAATCAGAAAGGGAAACTACAAAATGCAAATGGCCAATTTAGCTGCCTTCATGCCTCTTTTTCCTGCAGCTAGCAAATTAAAGTATGCAAGCTCTACTGTGCATTTTTTGGTACAAGTTTATAATAATTCACAGCTACAAAGATTGTTGAAGATAGTATGCTCAGTAAATCTCATATATAAAGATCACTATCTTGGTTTTGACAAAACACTTGAAACATACAGTGTAAAATTCATTAAGCAAAACATTTTTGAAAACCTTATGGATAAAGAAACTAAGATGTTAAAAATTAAAGTAGCTCAAAGTGAAAGAGAACATTTGTTAATGCTTATTGCAAAATACACTGATGATATAGTAGTAAATCAAAATACTCATTTCATCTAATCCCGTAAAGACTCTCTTTAGTCACTAGTGATGAAACTAATATACTCATTTAATAATAAAAATTTAGCAATGCATAATTTATTTAAAGGTGTGCCAGAAGCCAATGAAGAAGGTGTTAAACTAATTCTTGCCTGTTATAAGTCCAGAAAATTATGTCTTAAAGCAATACTTAAACAAGATATGCATAGAACAAAGTTCTATATAACTTCTAGACATGGTGCTCGAAATATAAACTGTTATATGTATGTTGAACTTGAGAAAAGGAATAAACAAGAGAGAAAAAAGACTAAAAGAATAATTATTCAAGAAGATATCACATATTCTGAATTATTTGAGTTTGAATCTTCATTCCCTATACAAAATTTAAATGCAGAAAGTTATAAAGCACAAGCTCGTTGAAAAAAACTACAAAAGCAAAAAAAGAAATACTTCGTCTATTACTTGAATATAAAAAATCACTACTAATTCATCTACTTATAACAGTATTTGATAAACTTAGTAAATTCTCTTTGGATTGAATATACAAGAAAATTAAGCAATATTGGAGAAATAATCGAAAAAAAGATTAGAGTAATACATTTAAATGAAGTATATATATAAAAAATTGTTTTATTAACACCTTTTATTAATAATTTAAGATAAGATTAAATAGCTACAATTTGCATTTTTTATAATTTTGAAGTATAACATATATATTATTGGGTTTTATTTATATATTGTTAGTAAATTTGGCATTGCCTCTTAGTATACGAGTATTTTTCTGTTTTTTAATAATATTTATTAGTAATAAAAACTTTTTTTTGTTATAAAAAATAAAACAAAAAGTAAAATTTAAACTTTTATCTTATTTTATTAAACAATTGCTACTAATTAAGCACTAGAAAACCACAAGTCAATTGCTTTTTTGTTATTAAGTTCGCTTGAAGTACTTTCTATTTCTTACTTTTTAGCAAGTGAATTTTGTTAAAACTTAAGCTAATTAGAAAAGAATCTTGGAATTTATATTAAAAAATAAACATTTTTAAGTCTGATCTTAACTGATACAAGTTTAATTAACAAGTAAAATTTTAGTATAGAATTAAAACATTTAACTTGAAAAAAAAAGTTGTCTAAGGTTAAAATATTATTAGTTAAACATTTATTAAAGTAATCTTACTACTAAGTCATGGTATCATATATTATACAAAAATTAATAAATATGAAGATCATTATAGGGAACAAGTCCTATGTTTGATAATATAAGGCCTTTGGTTAAACCAACATCTGAATATATTAACAATTTTTTTATTGCTAGAAAATGTTAATATAATCAGAATAATATGTAGAATATAAAAAATTTTAAAAGGTTTAGTACAAGGTCAACTATTTTTTAAATGAATAAACTGTCTTAAAAACTTAGTAACTATAATATATTTTTATTAATATCAATTAGAATTATTAATAAATATAAGTAAATAAATAAATACAAGAGCCAAATGTTTAAATAAGAAACTTACAAGTAGATTCAAGATATAGCTATTAGTTTAGAACCTTTAAATAAACTACTTAAATTAAACAATAACTAAAATTATTTAAATGACTAGTTGTATACTTTTTTTATGATTGCATTTGTAGTTGTAATACAATTATTAGCTAAATATATTATCAATAAAATTCTAAGTTACAAATATTTACTTTAATATTTAAAAAAAATAAAATAAACATCTTCTAAGTGCAACTAATATTTTTTATTTATTTTGCTAAAGCTTTTGGTTTTCAGTAGTTACTACTTTTATTGTAATTTAATTATAATTATATAACTTGTATAACATTACTTTTATCTGTAGATTCCTTAACCAAAAATCGACAAGAAGCAAAACATAGAAAAAATCACAAAACCTACTAAGAAGCAACACTAAGACTTTTAGTAAAAAAGAAAAAGCTGCAAAAGTTACATCAAGCTAGAGAACAAAATACAAATAAGAAAAGCTTAGAAGTAGCAGAGCTTAAAAAAATAAAAATTTTTTTGATAAAAACAAAAATTTTTGTTAAAATTTTGAGAAATCCCAGTGACCCTATTGTGCAAATCAATTAAGTTACATAGAAAGTATAACAAAACAAATAAAGTAAACAAACAAGCTTATGTATGAAAATATTTTATCAGAGCAAACACATGACATAGAAATAGTTATACTAAACCAACTAATAAACAAACAACAATGATTAGTATAAAAGGAAATACATATAAAGTAAGACCCAGAAGCTTATTTTTTTTTTTTTTTTTTTTTAGTTAAAGTCTCTATCTTGAGAGTAGCGATGTTTTTATTCAAGTATATTAGGACACAGCATGCCACCAGGGGCTCACTTTACATTGGAGGTTACAACTAGCCACACGTGCACTTTTGGTGCCTAATTTAAGTAGTCTGCTATATATTATTATATAAGTTCTACACTAATTGCCATATCTGCAAGCCAGCTAGGAGTCTTGCCTATTTAAACCTTCTACATATACAGTTCTTCTTGTATCATGGGAACATCTTAAGGTGCCACCCATCCAAGTTCTCAATGCTTATCGGTCTTTTTAGAACTACTTTATCCTCAATAGGAAACTTACTAGGGCCTTTATATCCCACACATATAGACCTAGTTTTATGCAACATGCTATAGTTATCTAACACTTGCAGTCACAGAGGTTACCTGTTTAACTGCTATGTTACACTATTTTTACCCTTGTAAAGTTCACTAGAACCCCAGTACCCATCTTCTCAGCATCTTTTTCATCATCCTCTACTAGCCGCAACTCAGAACTATTGGTCACATTCCAGACTACCAATCCAGATAGTCTGGTATAGTATACTTTTGTATCCTTTTCTTCTGGTGAACCTGGCAGCCTGGTTGGTTTATACTTCTCTATATATATTTGCCATCTAGTTTTAATTTTCAGTTTCTATAAAGATGTTTCATAGGCTTCAACCAGTCCAATAGTACCGTCGAAAGTTCATGCTACCTCTTTACTCAAGAATTTCCAAGTAGGTTTTCATCACCTCGGTTCCTTAGTCTTCTATGCCTGGTGGTCTTATTGTGGGTTTGCATCCAAGTCTTATGCAATACTGGTTAACATTCCTCTATATATGTGTAATATTACACTTTGCATAGATGCCTTGAGCTTCCAAAGTTGGAGGGACCTGACCTGATATACCTGGATAATAGCCATATGAGACCAACTGATCAACAGAAGACAGTTACTGTAATATAAATATAATTTTCAAATTTCATCGTAGGTGGGATTTGAACCTTAGACCTGACACTTGAAGGATGACAACCCAATCACTACACTAGGATCACTATTCTTTACCCAGA